CGCGGGCCTTGCGGGTGTTGATTCCGAATTCTGATGGGATGAAGCGCTTAACTTGAGAGGCAACAGCAGCGTCGGCGAGGGTCTTTTGGCTTCCGAATCCAGCATTTCCAACGACAGAAACGACGGCGTCCTGGCCCTTGAAAACGTCTGTGACAGCTTCGACTGAGGAGAGGTCGATCTTCTTGACAGTGGCCTCGGCGGGGAATGTTGCGCTTGACTCCTTTCTCGAGACTGCTGTGACTTCGAACCCAGCGTCAATGAGGCCACGGACGATGCTGGGGCCAAGGTTTCCGGAACCCTACCGAATTTAGTATCGGAACGTTAAGTGAAGTGATAGGCGAACTTACTCCGACAACAGCGACCTTCTTGATGACAGACATGTTGAGAATCTTGAATTTGGTTGAAGAATGTATTGCAATTTAAGAATTGGTGAGTTGAGGATTGTTTAAGGGTTCTTATCTTGTTAGCTGCGAGTGACTTGAATTCTGCCCTTATGCTTGGAGGTTGGGTGCAACCTGCTTATATGCTTTGCTGGTGGATAGCTGTCTCTAACCTTCACCCCGCCTCCACCGAGCTATCGCGCAATAACTGGAGATCTCGCACGATTGTATGTGCAGCACGCAAGATCCACCACGGTTTCGCACTCAGTATTATCAATCAGCGTCTCTGCCGTCTGGCGTAACGGCCCCTCCCGGCGAGCGGGCATTGCTAAGGCGCCGACCTGACCCCTCTATGTCCCGGTGCCCCCACCGCAACTTCTCGGGAACAAAGTGCTTCCGGACTCATTTTGCTTCCGAACAACAGTGGTGGCATGGCGTGCAACACTAACAAAGAAGGTTCCGGCTGCTGAGTGATGAGGCGATCCATTTAGACTCGGCACCGTACCCTCCTCTCGGCAGCTAAATGTCTTGGGTTTGCCGCTAAGTTTATTGGGCAATAGCAGCATGGTATTCCAAAGGCCCCCGCAAGATTTGGGACAGATGCGGACACGGATTTTTGGATTGGCAATTCAACCAGTCGCTTTACCGATGCCATACCGGAACAATGCTGGTAGTCTTTCTGGACACATATGCAAACTACAATTGAGAGCTTCTAGCAGATACGATATGCATCCGTAACGAGGTCATATTACACATCAAAGAACAGCAAGCTATCCTGAGAGTAGTATGAGTACCAACATGACCTGTACACAATCTACATAGCGACAATATCTCACCGCTCTCTTAATTTAGCCCTTACATCCGAAAATGATTATAGAGCCACCTGGCGCAAAAGCAGTGTTTTGATTTCCTATTCCTTACTCGAAGAATCACAACTCTAGGTACTGAAGACTAAGGCAGGGGACTTTCTCGCCGAAGGAAACATCTCTTACCCTTTGAGGCGCCGTTCAATATTGGGATTCAATGTGAGGCGGTTCCGTTGTCCGAGAAACAACGAGCGTCCCCCCCCCCCCCCCAAAGAAAAAGGGCTAAAACCTATGTAGACTGATTTCGAAGGTTATTCCTGCTTCGTGTTTCATATTCCACCTGCCCGGATCAAAACTGCGGTGCTATACCCTTTCTGACAATCCAGCTGAAAGGAAGATATTTAATGTAGCTGCTAGAAGATATGTGATGCTCAGCCCTCTCAGCTCGACTGCTCAGAGGTATGCCAGGAAATGAAGCCCATGCCCTGTGCCTCCAACAGCTTGGAAGAAATGCGTGTTTGCGGAGACCGTCCTGAGCATGAGCCGCATTCCAGAGCAGAGGGGTCCAAACCACGTGTCGAAATTAAGAGGCAGAAAAGAGGAATGAGGACTGGAACTCAGCCGGACCTGAGTTTAAAGATATGCAAGTCTTAAATGGCCCAAGACACTGGAAAGCAAGGTTGACATTCTGTAGGCTTCGTTGAAATGCTGTTCTATCTTGTCCAGGTGTAAACAATGCAACCGAGATGTGGACTAGCGACCATTGGCATATATGATGATGTTGATGCCGCCATCAACGTCGGTGTCACTTGTGTAACCAAGCAAGGGAAAGGCCAGCTCCACGTCTATCAGCCGCGCCGGCTATCACACAGTCTTTACCGCCCGAAAAAAAATGTCACTCTTTAGCACACGTACGCTCGTTACCGCCCTTTTGTTGGCACAGACATTTGCTTTACCCGCCCCGGAATCCAAGCCAGTCCAGCTCGAAGAAAGGAACATCTGCAACGATGGCGAGCTTGCCGCCAAGAATCCACGCGCAGCTTTCTTCCGCAAGGTCGTGGACGAATCAAGCTACAGCAACCATAGCAGAGTACCGACGCCGAAGGATGTTCCCCTGAAGGTCGGCATTATTGGCGGTGGAGCTGCCGGACTCTACGCTGCTATTCTCCTTGACTCTCTTGGAATCGACTACGATATCCATGAAGTTTCCGGACGCATTGGCGGGAGAATCTACACCTACCATTTCGATCAAGAGGCTTGGGACAAGTCGACACCTGCAGACCCCGCCTATTATGATTACTACGTGAGTTGGTGCCGGGATGCATCATATATAGCATGCTTAACTAACTGACTCGGACGCTACAGGATGTCGGTGCCATGCGTTTTCCTCCAATGCCTTACATGAGCCGCATTATCGGGAACGACTCATGGAGTCTGATCCCCTACATCAACGCAAGGGTTGCCGAACGCGACCAGGTTGTCAAGAAGCACTACATTTTCAGAACGGACAACACGTTCAGACGTTTTAACGGTGTCACCTCTCTTCTCCAAGACCCTAGCTCTGCCTCCCCTGCTAGGTACGACGTTCCGGTCTTCAACTCAACCTTTAATACGCAGTCTGCGTACAATGTGTGGAAGGCTCAAGTCAGCAACATGACGACAGCGTTATCGGCCAACTTTGACACAGGTTTCAACCTCCTCATGAAATATGATTCCATGACAGTTCGGGAGTTCCTCTTGGACCAGGGCTTTACCAACACCGAGATCGACTGGATGGAGACCATCAACGACGCCACAGGTCACTACGACATGTACTCCATGTCTCAAGCCGTCCTTGAGCAGTGGATCTTTGACAGCGCAGACATTGACAACTGGTCGCTGATCAATGGTGGCATGGACATGTTGACCAAGGGCATGAATCTCATTGTGAAGAACAAGCCCGTTCTGCACAATAGAGTCTCCGACATCAAGAAGAATGCCAATGGCTCCTTGAAGATTGTCGTCAACGGCACCAAAGAGTACGACTACGCCCATGTCATCTCGACTGTTCCACTGGGTGCCCTCCAGGCTATCAACATGACCGAGCTAGACCTTAACTATTTCGAAAACCATGCCATTCGCTCTCTCAAGTAAGTCCACTTTCCTTCTCTATCAACCAGGTTGTCAAAGCCCAAGCTAACTTTGTACTCAGCTACGATCCTTCGACAAAGATTGGGTTCAAGTTCAAGACTCGCTGGTGAGCTACTTTCGGCCATAGTATCAGACTCGGGGCTTCGACTAATGTGCTAATTGCAGGTGGGAGAACCTCGCCACCGGTCCTTTCAAGGGTGGTCAATCCTTTACCGACCTTCCCATCCGCCGCTGTGTCTACCCCTCGTACGGCGTCGATGTCCCAGGTGCCCCGGGAACCATGATCGCCAGCTACGTCTGGGGTCAAGACGCCTCCAGATTAGGCTCATACATGAACCCGCACAACGAAAAGCAGCAGGCGCCTTACCAACCAGAGAGCATCGACGTCATGGTCGACTTGACCCTCAGAAACTTGGCAGAGCTCAATGGCGTATCCCACGAGTTTCTCCTATCGCAATTTGAGGGATACCACGCCTACGACTGGTACGGATCGGCCTACTCTAACGGCGCCTTTGCCATCTTTGGCCCGGGTCAGTTCAGCAGCACGTTGCCGTGGTTGATGAGGCCTTCTGCTGATGGCCACATGCACTTCGCGGGCGAGGCGCTGAGTTCGGGTCACGCTTGGATCATTGGCGCCGTCAACAGCGCCTGGAGAACTGTGTTTGAGATTCTTTGCACTGAAGGTCTGGAGGACAAGAAAAAGCAGTTCATCGAGCAGTGGGGCGTCATTGACGAGGTTGACATGGGCTGGTATGATTGGTCTCCAGAGGGGTTCCCTTGAGGGCAATAGGTTCTAAGCGCTGGGTTGCGGCGTGCATGGTGCAGCAACGAAGACAGTTGAAGGTCGCGCACATCTGTCGTCAGCCAGGTATCCCCATTTCATTATCTACTTTTACTACCACACTCAACAAGATGAACCTACTAGATACACGTAATCTTAATTCTATAACCACGAAAACGTCCACAAGTTCATCCGTACCAAACTGAAATGCATGTTCACCAATTGCGAAACTTGGTTTCAGTTTACACAGACTTCGTACAATTACCGGGATGTTGGTTTTTAACCCCCGAAGCTATACCACACTAGTTGGCGTCTACAAGTCCTCGGGCACTACACGGACCAATCTCAGGGCCGCTCCTAGGAACCGTCATTATGAGCCATCTCGACTCATCCACATCTCCTAATCTAGCTGGCCGGTTCCCCACTCAATCAACTCCCTTTCTGATTCGAATCTCTTCGGTTACTCGTTACCACTTGCCGTCGTTTAACAACATCGTACAGGGAGACTTGGCTTCCCTTGATTGTCTCCAGACACAACTCACACAGATCTTTTGTTAGAGTACTTCTGCCTCTCATTCAAAGAGAGGCCCAATAATCTGACTCTATGGCAACACCACAATCATCCGTATTTCCTACATGCAGCTGGACTCGACCAGTTTTCTACCGAGAACAACTGCCAAAGGAGCCGGAACCGCCTTGGGGAGCTTACCTGGTGGGATCCTTCCCAGGCGTTGGATCCCATGTTTGGGTGGCAGGGCATCACAACGGGGTCAGGAGACGGATCTCAGCTTCCAGACTATCAGATCCCTCTCGATCCACAACTTGAATCCGATGAGCTGGCTCGAACGAGTAGTCAAGATGAGAGCATCGCTGCGCTGGGGACGTTGGACACAGGCCGGGAAGATGTCTTTCTGGGTTTGCTTGGTAGTATCGAGCCTTCTCGATCACCAGGGCCGCATGGTACGTTGAAGTGGTATTGGCTCACCTTGTCATCTTCTTACTAACATTCGTCTCAGACTTTCGGCCATCTCAAACAGGCGCTCATAGAAGCCCACGGCAAAGCATTACAATCACCTCGGATAATCCCGAGTCCGTCTTCTCTTCGAGCTTTCCTACAAGGAGCAACACTTCCGATCTTCTGCCCACTCAGCCTCCAGCCCCCGAACCTCGGCGCCGCGATCACTCCACATCTGGCGCCAAACGCAACGCCAACGGATCTCCGATGACTGACCTCGATTCGATTGATGAAGATAACGCCAATGCCATCAAAAGACAACGCAATACCGTCGCAGCTCGAAGATATCGTCAGAAAGGCCGTGATCGCATAGCGGAGCTAGAAACTGCTCTTAAAAGTGTCGAGGAGGAGCGTGACAAACTGAAGCTGCAACTCGCGAGGAAGGAGGCCGAGGTTGACGCTTTGAGGGAAATAATGAAGAAGTAGGCAGATAGCTGTCTTCCACGGGGAGATAGCATCACGTACTAGTATGAAACCTTTATGCGTAAATCATCTATAAAGTTGCAGACTGGCATGAAAAATATGCATCGCCCCCAATGTGTCTAGTAATGTTCCCTCTGATGAATCCCTCCAATTTCGATTTGAAGTCAAGTGCGCGCATCGTTGTGATTTAGTCCTGAGACGGTTGTTCAGGCTGACTCTCTAGATGTATCATCACATCAACAAAGCTATGATTCTCCTTGTTGTCCCAATGCACCACCGCCCCAACGATACCCCACGGGAATTGCCGAATCGAGCTTTGTTGGAGAGACACAATTCCCTCAGTATAAGACAAGAAAGATTGAAACCCGATGGACGAGTCGTTGTTTGAGGGTGCTGGCGTGACTTTACAGCGCCACCTTTGATGGGATGACTCTGCCCTTAAATCATTGCCATACAAGACTGCAAACTGTAGCACTCGCCGACATCCTCTCAACTCTTTTACTTCGACCACGAAAGCCCAAATTGGATCGCACATAAGTGCGGCCGCTCTTCCAAATTCCCGCGGCTCCGTCTGGAAGGCATACGCATCCCCTTTCATCTCCATTTTCAGACTGGGGTATGTAGCCAGGACGGTCGTAGATACAGTCTCATTCCGCCTATCAAATCGCAACTGGGATCTTCCGGGCCCGGGGCTCCATGCCTCTCCCGGGAATTCGACATAGTACTCTGGAGTTGCGCGGAGATAGAACGTTGTTGATTCAAAAGTATTTATCCTCGTGATGGGGACCAAATAGAGTCGATTTGTATTGCGCCGAAAAGCCCTGGCTGCGCTGTCCATATAAGTTTCTTCGTTTGACAGCTTGATACAGAGGTAGTATGTCGCTTTTGGTAGTTGGATGTACAAAGTAGTCCACGCAAGCCTAGTATTTGGATCTGGGTTCAGTACCCTGGTCGTGAACATGGTAATTGAGATACCACGCGGCGATAATGTAGGCGGCGAGAAATCAGGCTGAAGTTGCGGATGATTGATATTGCGATAGTAGCCTCCAAAGTAAGGCTTGATGCACTTAAGCATCATCTCTTTTTCTAGCGTGATCAATCGTGGACCAGGCGATTCTCGTACACTGATTCCCCTCATGTCCTTGTCAAAGTCCCTTTCAATTGCGGCTTTCGGAACGCAAGTCGTATCTAATCTCATAGTGCCGAAGTCTCTTGGGTGTGACGCGAGAGCCGAGGAGTGTATTCTGAGTGGCTGGGGTGACGCATCGTATGACGTCCAGGCGATCAAGCTGTAATCTTCAATGGTTCTGATAATTTCTTCTTGGAGACGGCGGAACGCCCGCTCGCCCTCTCCATACAGAAGCGGCATATTGATCTCGAAGATGCCCAAAAGGCAATAAGCCGTGTCTTCAACGCGAGTTGTCTCTCGGCTGGCAGCCCATTGCATTCTACTCCAAACAGAAAACGTTGACAGCTTTTCAGCGCCGTTGGCTTCGAGAACCACTTTGTCGATCATGGTATGTTTGTGAATGATGTCCGAAAGATCACTCCTCGTCCCAAGAAAGGACCAGTCCGAAGCGTGAAACTCGACTCTTTGCGGTGCAATAAGCTCTTGGAGAGTCCAACCTCGAGTGAACCATCGGCTTCCGAGGAAGGTGTTCTGATCCTTTCTGATGGACATAGTTTGATTCGAGTCCAGATCAAGGGCGAGATCCTGAAAGCCAATGAGCGAAGCGTATCTCAAAGGAGGCACATCTTCAAGGTAGGCGTAGCAGATCTCAGCTTCCCTGTACCAACGGAACATGGAGTTGATGGCCTCGGATAGCTCAGAGCTTGAAGACTTGTCGATACAGCATGTGTCGATCCAGATCCAGTCAAAGCCATCACCCAGAGCGAGCGCACAGGCGCCCCTAATCTTTTTCCATCCGGCTTTCACACTAGAAGGAGCCTCGTCCTTTGCTTCTGTATCCTGAAGAACGATTTCCTCCGAGCCCCAGGTATGGGAAAGAATGGCATACTTGGGTCTTTCACTGACAAACTCCTTCACCTTGAGCGTCGTGGTGTTAAGGAGTCGCATATTGATGATGTTAAGGTTCCATTGGGGATGGCGTGGGGAAAAGCTGGAAACTTGAGGGAATTCGTCCAGACTTCTAGGCAGCTTGCAGCCACGTGATGAATTCATCCACTTCGGCTGATGGCTGAGTTATCTGCATGTCGCATGCGGTTGATTGGTCACAGTCAAAATAGCATGAGATACGATTTGAAAGTTTTTCTATTTCAATTTTCACATAGCCTAACTTACGGAGCTTCAGTCGGGTCCCTATCACCTTTTGTTAGCCTCACTTTCTTACACACACTAAATCGAGTCATTCGAAAACGTACCAATCGGTCACTAAATGCTCATCGAGCGCGTCCAATACAGCCAGGTCCTCCTGGGAGATTTCGTACTCGGCCACGTTCGCGTTCTCAATGAGGCGCTCTTGGCGCACGCTCTTGGGAAGAGTAATCATGCCGCGGTCCAGAGACCATCTAGAAGAGCCATAGTCAGCTGCTGAGACCCCACTAAGAAGTGTTCAAAGATCACAGTTGCATGGAGGTTGGAATTAAGGGCGATTACTCACCGAACAAATAGCTGCGCAGGAGTGCAGCCGTACTTCTTAGCCAGCTCCAGGATCTTGGGGTGCTTCATGCGCATGCCGCGGGCTAGTGGCGCATAGGCTTCAATGGCGATGTTGTGCTTGGCGCAGGTCTCTCTGATGCGAGTCTGCGTGTTGAAGGGGTGAACCTCGATCTGGTTGATGACGGGTGCGATGCGAGGCTTCGAGGCCATCAACTCTTCGATCTAAGGGAGTCGTCAGTGTCGTTGCTCATGGCCTTTTGTTAGAACATCAGTCACGGGTGAAAACTCACATGAGCAGCACCATAGTTGCTGACACCACCCATCTTCACCTCCCCAGCATCAATCGCATCCTCAATCGCCTTCCAACTCGTCAACCGAGCCTCCTTGCCTCCATACGGGCTATGCAGCAAAAACAAGTCAATGTACCCCAGCCCAGCAACCTCCACAGACTCCTTGATCGACTTGCGAACGGCGTCGTACGAGGTACTGCTGCTCGCCAGCTTGCTCGTGTAAGACACGTCCTCGCGCTTCAGGCCCTGTGTGTTTTGAGGCCCGGCGAGGAATTCGGCAATGGCTTTGCCTGATTCCGCCTCGTTGTTGTACATTTGCGCGCAGTCGAAGCCGCGGTAGCCGGCGGTCAGGGCCCATGGGATGGATTTTGTGGCTTCGCGGCCGGACATGCAGTAGAGACCCAGCTGGATCTGGGGGATGGACTTGCCATTTGCGAGCTTTGGTGTGTGTTAGCCGATATGCCCGGAGTTACGGGGCTATGGATGATTTGGATGGTATCATGGTGGCATTGGGGGTGAGAGGTTGAAACTCACGGTGAGGCGCGTGGCCAGAGTGTACTTGTTTGACGCCATTGTGACTGCTTTGATCTCACTTCCAATATCGTGGGATTCAAGTTTGGAGAGAAGAAAGTGAGAATGAATCCAGAATCTACTCGGAGTAGAAGTCGCCCGAGGTTGCGGGCTGTACCCGCCGTGACATCACGCTGGAAAGAGGGGCGGTGGCGGGGCATCATCCCGCCCCGGTTTCGGTCTCCGAACGAACGTCGTGAAATCTCCGGGAGCCAAACTTCAACTCGGACCTGAACACAGACGCATCTCGGGAGCACCCTGCACTACCATTGGCCCAATGAACATATTCTTGCGCTATTTTCCTGTCAAGCTCGCCCGATGTCCGAGAGAATCGTACGAGTAAGGTAGCATCAACGCCAGCCAGGGCTTTTACACCATGACTGTGGTTTCTAGTACAGCCGGAGGTGATTCCGGGGCCCCAGTTTGAGCGCCGCCTAAAGTTTCTAGGATCGCGAGTCACAATGGAATATCAAGCAGGCAACACTCAACTTGCACGAACATCATGAATCGTCTATGCATTCTTCACACGGGGTATCTAGGGTGGTTGCCTGCGACTCACTTACATCCCCTGAAAACAGTCCCGCAGTTCCAACACGCAATCGCAATCTGTGTAAATCAAAGGAAAGTTGATGCTCAAATGCTTATGATACAACCCCACGCCTAGCGACCTCAATCGTCCCACTCCTCATCCAGCTGGTCTATCAGTCGGTTCTCATCCTCACGGTTGCGGCCTCTGCTCGGTGACCCAGACAGATGGCTGTATCCCCGTCTCCCCGGAAGCAGCTGTGCACAAGAAGAAGTAGCGATAATGAACATGTCCTGCAAATCATGTCAGAATCGATTCTGAGAAAAAGAGTCGCGGATACTACGTACACTGACAAAGCCCCAAATGCCAGCCCAGAGGCTGTAGTTGGGAAGCTGTCGCCAACCGCGCGCATGCGCGACAGTCCTTTGGTAGAACACGCCACCTCCAAAGTAGACGAGGACGGCAATAACAAAGATGATGGCAAACACACTGCCGGGACCGACGCTGCCGGGCTGATGCGGCTCGGCTCTGGGACACGCATGCTGGGAACGAGCCTCAAAGAAGTACGCGCAGTCGTCAGGGTCTGAGCCGACGAAGGAGATATGCGCGGCTCCACCGACCTGCTCGGTATCGCAGTGGAAGGAGATGGTGGCAGACTTTCGGCGCATGGTCGAGTCTGAGTCGTCCTTATCGGCAGTGACCTTGTTTTGGGTGTTGCCAAAGGCGCTCAAAGCCGTGGCTTCCTCCTCGTCGGCGTACTTGTTGTAGGAGGCGCCATCGTGGGCCTTGGATCGTTTCGATTTGGTCTTTCCGCATGGGGAACCGTTCTTGTATTGCAGGACGAGTATGCGCCCACGGGTCTGGATATCCATGGATGATGACCTGAAGATCAATGTTATCAGTATTTGCGCTTCCGGTGAAAGGTGTTTGTGGGATACATGCCCAATGGAGTAAACCTCATTCTTGTATTCATAGAATGCGCTAACGTTCTTGGATTCGCTCTTTGTCAAGCCTTCAACGTCGTCAAGTGCCTCAATGACTGGCGCGCAAATGTTCAAGGTGAAGTTGCGGCCATAGTCCCATCCTCTGGCATGATAATCGGTTATGACGCCTGACTTGGACGACTTGCCCTCCTCGGGCTTGACGGCGATATCCGGCCGCAAGTCGTAGAAAGCCCCGCTGCCGCTCTTGGATGCTGCCGTACATGCCGGTGCACTCGTTGTCGTTGAGGATGTCGCGGTATCGGCGGCGCGAGCTGTCGCAGCTGCGAGAAGGAGCAAAAGTGTCGAGGAATGCGGGAAATGCATGATTCTGTCTAGGTTCCGGTGCAATGCCGATAAGGATGAGTTGGAATGAAGGATCGTTAATGTCGGCGCCCCTATGGACGCGGGGGGTAACGTGGGCGCGAGAAGACCCCTACGACGTCAATTGGAGATAGTCAGTCGCTGGGAACCCGGAATCGAAGCGAATGGTGTAGCGGTTTTGCTATGCGACGAGAAATAGCGATGGCGAAACGTGGACACAATTCCGTTGGGGAAAGATGAGAATTATCGAGGTGCGCAATGTAAGGTAGAATGAGTTGCCTGGCCACGAAAGCCACCTTGGTCACTTCAATTCGTCAGCCTTCATCTGCAGGGAATGACGGGAGTGACCGGGGAGTGGGCATTGATTGGTGGATGGGCCCTCCTTGCAGCATCCGCCGGAGGTAGAGCGCCGCCAGGCTGCAGTGTCCGGAGAGGTACCCACCCATCTCCAGATCACGTGCGTACTCTTTATTGCATCTGGTACCATGGAACACAGTCAGTCCGCTGTGTCAATCTTAGTCAGCGTGTCAGATAAAAGCGGCCCTCCGATTACCGACAGCCAGCCCGTAACAAGACCCGCCCGTTTCTGATACGTCCAGATGGACCAGTGCCATGAATGTTCCTTGCAGGTGTAAGACGGGAGGGATTCCTCTCGCCGATTTACTACACCACCAATGAATAAAAATTGTAAACACTCGTGTTGCCCGAAAAAGGCAGTGTAGACGCACAAGCACTAAAAGCTTCTTCCAGTCCTAACCTTCGGACCGCGTAGCTTTGATATCGTCCGATGCTTGGGAACATCCTCCCGGGTGCCGCCTGCCTCGGTGGAACCATTCCTCCGGGAAGCTATGACGAGACGGGATTGGCGGTCCACCGTACAGCGTAAGGTAGGTAAACCGTTTCGTAGCCCCACCCTTCGTCCAGCCCAATGAGGCGGCTCAACTCTGTATTAGCGTCATCGAATTGAGCTCCATGAGGTCACCCGGGACACCAGAGCTCCGGCGCAAGAAGTCCTTCACAGCCCACTTGGCGATCAACAGAAACCGGGGTCGATACTGAGCTCTCAACCTGCCATCACTGTCGCATTCGTATTGCCATATTGGGTTGGTGGGGCGTACAAATATTTACATTTTCCTCTTCATTTACGAAAACCTCCTCACCAACAACCTCAAATCAGACACGCGAAGCTCGACACGAGCTTGCTCCCCTTTTCCTCTCCATTACCCAGTCTCGACAGCACTTGCTTTGGGGGAGCGGTCAATATGGCGTCCAAAGCAGAGAAGGACGCGTTCCAAAAGCCGCATGGCTATGAGTTCGGAGGACCGTGAGTAGTTCAGATTCTCATTGTACGAATACCTAGCTAACCCGCGGCAACGCAGCATCGGCGCCTTCGGCATCTCTTTCGGTCTCCCGATACTCGTCTACCTCTTCACTTTCAGCTGCAACGATGTATCCGGCTGCCCTGCTCCTTCCCTTCTGAGCCCCTCGACCCTGAAGCTCGACCAGCTCAAGCGCGAAGTCGGATGGCCCGAGGAGGGCATTTGGGGTCTCGCAGACAACAAGGTTACTGCTGCCGTCTTGGGATACTACCTCTTCAACGCGCTCCTCTATCGTATCCTTCCCGCGACCGAGGTCGATGGCGTTGAGCTCGCCTCTGGTGGCCGTCTGAAGTACAGATGCAACTGTAAGCTGTCCGAATGCAAAGAGATGGGCTTTTACTAACAAATGCAGCCTTTGCTTCCAGCATGTTCATCCTGACCGTCTGCCTCGCCGGCACCATCGCCCAGGGCGCCGAGTTCCCCCTCTGGACCTTCATCACCGACAACTACATCCAAGTCGTCACCGCCAACATGCTCATTGCCTATGGTATTGCGACGTTCGTGTACGTGCGAAGCTTCAGCGTCAAGCAGGGCAACAAGGAGCTCCGCGAATTGGCTGCGGGTGGACACTCTGGCAACCTCATTTACGACTGGTACATTGGGCGTGAGCTCAACCCTCGCGTTACCATTCCTCTCCTGGGCGAAATCGACATCAAAGAGTGGCTGGAGATCCGACCTGGTCTGTTGGGCTGGTCTCTGATGAACTTTGCATGGATGGCTAGACAGCACCGCACCTACGGCTTCGTCACGAACAGCAGTGTCTTCGTCTCCGCCGTTCAGCTTGCGTACGTGATCGACTGCTGGTGGAACGAGCCCGCGATCCTGACGACCATTGACATCACCACGGACGGCTTTGGCTTCATGCTCTCCTTTGGCGACCTCGTCTGGGTACCCTTCGTGTACTCCCTGCAGACTCGTTACCTGGCTGTGTACCCCGTCTCGATGAGTCCCTTGGGCATGGCTGGTATCGTCGGACTCATTGGTGTTGCCTTCTCCATCTTCCGCCTGTCCAACAGCCAGAAGAATGCGTTCCGCAGCAACCCGGATGACCCCAGCGTCGCTCACCTCAAGTACATCGAGACCAAGTCCGGAAGCCGCCTCCTTGTATCGGGCTGGTGGGGAGTTGCTCGTCACATCAACTACCTTGGCGACTGGCTCCAGGCCTGGCCGTACTGCTTGCCCACAGGCATGGCTGGATACACAATCGTCTCGGCGGGCACTGGATACGCCCAAGCCGGACTCGAGGGAGCTTTCAAGATGGCTGATGGTCGTGAGGTTATCCAGGGCGCGGCTCGTGGCATGGCGACTCCCATCACGTACTTTTACATTGTGTACTTTGCCGTCTTGTTGATCCACCGCGACCGCCGTGATGACGAAAAGTGCTCTCGCAAATACGGCGAGGACTGGGAGAAATACAAGAAGATTGTCCGGTGGAGGATTCTTCCTGGCGTCTACTGAGACCCCAAGAGATCAGGAGACGGCTCCGGAAAGCAGGCCCGGAGAAGCACAGGAATGGGTACCTCTTCGGCCCGTTTGCTGAGTCGTGGAGCTGGTGGATATCATGGATCACCCGGATCATGGGTTTACCTGGAGCTCTTGCTAGCTTGATAGTCTGCTCTGGCTCGCCCGGCTAAGGGGCGTTGGGCAAACGGTTGCGCATGTGGCGTTCATGGCTGGGGTCTTCAGAGGTGCCTTCGTCTAAAGCTAAGGCGAAGGAATTCGAGTGTGCTAAGGGACTTTTAATCGGGCGTAATCGCGGAACCAGACAGGTAGTCTAGTCATCATAAGCTTCTTCTGCCTTTTGCTGCTTAATTCTCACCGAACCCCCGCTATGCATATTGTGATGCCTTTGTCCAATGGCAGGCACGCCAGCAATTTTGAGAGACAGACTGGACAGATGAAGCGTCGAATTAGACTGTCTTCCGCCTGCTTGGGTACGAGGGAACGTTACGTGCTTTACTGCGAGCTGCGAGCTGCACGGGCACGTCAGATCGGAACTGTTTCTTTCAATCATGAATGATCATGAGGGCAGGGCATGCAGTCCACTGATTCCACGCAAACTTTTGGTCCTCCCCTTCGCGAGCTCCCATCGCGAGAGCCGAAGTTGGCCGACATGTATACTACAGCGATGAAGCTTCTCCAATAAAGCAGTAAACGGGCCGAAAAGGACTCGGAGGCCCCGCTCCTTGGCACATGGTCTTTTTGACTATGAACATTTGATGCGGACATTCAAGCATCCGCGGGGACGATGGATGATGGAGTCTGGAGATGGGGAGAGGCTTTGGGTGATGAGGGGTAGCAGAGGGCCAAGTGGATTGGCCGGGTTCGAAATGCGGGGGAGATGAGGGGGGGGGGGGGGGGAGAAACTGGAGACTGAAGATGGAGAAGAAAAAAAGAGTGTGTGTGGGTGTGTGAGGATCTGGGAAAGCAAAGAGGCGGGGGATGCGTTGTCGTCGACAGCATGCAAAGTACCTACCTCATTGCTGCGGTGCGCGGTGTAGACTGTGACGGTTGGTTGGTTTGGCGTGGCGTCATGTAAGTCGCCGTGTTGGACGGGTTGATTTTCTCATCATTGTGCGTGCGACCGCGAGGAAAGGGATTATGGTTTTCATGCAACTGCGAGGGAATTGGGATGACGGGAAAAGTACAAATTTAAGCATAGGTTCAGCATCCGGTTTAACATCCGTTAGATGAGACGGATACTCCGTACGAAGTACTTGCAAAAGTGCGTCTGCGCCTCCGTCCCTCTATTCTAAAAAAGTGCAAATGATTCAGGCACCAGCCTGTTTTTGAGTTTATGTCTTGGAGCCTCCATCCCGGGACGTTGCATTTTCCTTATTGACTGCGTAATAAATTTGTTCATTGCACTCTCTGTCAATAGCTAAGACGGAATGACAAAGACTCGTGCCAAGCGAATCAAATGCCGAGCAGTGGTGTGGAGAGGTGTTTATTCCGATCTGCAGCCCAAGGCACTCAAAATCCTGCTCATCATGCGTATACTTTGTAGTTCGTATCGACCGAGAAAAGGAGAGAGAGAGTCACAGAGGGACAGAGAGAGAGAGAAAGAGAGAACCTTGAGGCATGAGGCTTGGAGAAATTCGCCCCTGTTAACCACGGATGTAACGCTGCTGCAGATGGTGGGAACCAGTTGGCAATACGCCGACCAATTGGTGGCGACCAAGTTCCATCGAAGCCGTCATGAAAGAAACGTCTCTTTCTGAAAGCAGAGGAAAGAGAAAGAAGACGCCTCTGAATTGCCAACGGCGGGAAGGCGTGGGTTGGCGCAACGCCACCACGACCGGGAACCGCCTCTAGACCAGGAACTCGTTAGCGTTAGGTAGGAGCATGCGAATGGTAGGGAGTACTGCCGAGATACATGCAGCCACGATGGAATGCCCCGCGCATCGACATGTTTTCTCCCGGTCGCTGACCGACTCCTGCCGTTTCTGCCGTCCAAGGCAATTTCCTCCCATTGCTTCTTTCCAATCTCCAAATGATTGAGGCTTTGCAGGCAGTCACGCAGTCACGACCTACCCTGTGGAGCGTTGTTTCTCTCTTGCTCTGGGGCATTGAGGTGGGGCCCCGCTTCCCCACCCGTTCCGATTTGTTTACTGAACTACCTTA